CTTTCAGGGAAACAAATTATACGCTAATATTTCATCATGGCTCTTTCCACCCCTAGAACAGGGCTGCACATCCCTGCTCTTCATTGCCTGGATCAAGGTTCCCATTACATGTGAATTTCTTGTTCTATGCTTCAAATGCAAGATGGAACAAAAACGTTCCAGATTTCCCATCACATAACTCCCAGTACTGTTCTAATACCATTTTTCTTTCCTTTTATGTGCAGTAACTTAGACTTACATGTACACAGGTTTTATATCAATTGTCTCATAACTTGTCTATTTTCCCCTGTCAAGTCTCGAAGGAGGGAAGATAAGGCTGGGAAGGAAGGTAAAGGGGGAATTACTGTTAAAGTGAATTCTTTTCCAAGGATCCACTGAGAGACAGATATATTTTCCAGATGCTATTGAAGGACTTAACAACTTAACAGGGCATTAGATGTCACTTAAAACTTTTAATCACATACCAGGGGCTGAGCTGCAAAAAGAGACCAACACGAAGAACATAGTAATAAAGCACAGTAAATGCTATTCAATGTGTAAGCTCTCTAGAAATAAACAAGCTCAGCAGATGAATTGGAAAGGGCAGAACAAATCCTTTCATCTTTGCTCAGTTTTATACGGTAATCTGGACGAGTCACCATCAGAAACAAGTATTTTATTTGTGAAAATGCAGAGGAAACACTCCACTCGTTGATGCTTTGATACAGGGAGCATTTCATATTAGCAGCTTTTAAATGCCCATCCGTACCAACTCTCAGTAATTTCTGCTCCTTGGTATAAGTGTTCTGCATCCAGTTACACTGCTGTGACCTGGATGGGAGCTGCAGCTTTCAAAGCAGTTGCGTGACTGAGCGCGGTGTCTGCTGGGTGACGCTGTGATTTACCTTTTGTGTTTTCCTTCAGCACAGCAAGTTTGCTTGTACCTCCCTTTCCTGAGTTCAGAACTGGTTTGCAGAACTTCCTCTTCCAGAGCTGGAGGCCAGATGATAAGTTTAGAGGAGGGTCTCACATTTTTGTTGCTGGTTATTTCTTTAAACTTTTAATTCTGAATTCCATGAAATAAAACGTTTGATGATCTGAACCCTAAAGACACAGATATTTAGAAGCGAGACATCTCATTTCAGTTAGCATTTATAGAATGATTCCCAATTTCGGTGATCATAAACTGATGCAGAAACTCAGAATGGAAAGCATTTCTTGTAATTACGACATGCCCCTATTAGATGAAATTCACTTTAGGTCACTTTAAATGCCTTTTTTTCAGTAGAGTTCACGACTTAGTGTGCACTGAGGGGACACTGGAATTTAACAGCTTTAACCACGTTTCATGTATCTTTGTCATCATGCTGTAAACAGCCCGTATGAAGACACACAGGTCATCACATGCACTCATAAAACAGAGCAAGTAACACTGGCAAGGGAACCTGCACAGTCTTTTGGACCAAATTCCTGTTTAAGCCTCTCAATAGAAGAGTAAAAGTAAGCTGTTTCTTCTGTTAATGGCACCACTGGAAGTAGAAAGGCTAAATATCACTTTGGGGGCTCAAACTGCAAGCTAATGCTTTTCAAGCCCTTCCACGTGCTGGCTGAAATGAACTCAAGGTTTGTTAACCGCTGTTATCATATTGGTTCACATGAGAGTGCCACATCTGAAGTGCAAGGATTTGGTTTCAAATTAACCACATTTTTCAGGTATTTCATCTGAAATTTTTACTGCCTCTCAGCACTCCGTCTACTGGATCCTTCACAAAACTGATCTGGAAGCTGCAAGACTTCCAAATCAACAGTTTTGGAGTTCTCTCCCCCAACTTCTCATTTTCAGGTTTCTCCCTCAAACAAGAAAAGCTTGGAGCATTTTTAATTTGTCTGGGGACAAGAGTTAGGATTTGCCCCTCAAAAGCATGACACTTGCAGGAAAAGTGGTGGTTGTTGCAAGTCTGTGCTACAGTTGAAAGAGCTGCCATCAAACACAGGCAAAGTTTGGTCAGCTTTGCACGTTTTGTGGGTTCTGGTGTTTTCACTGTAGGTTTTCAGAGCTAATGAAAAAACCCATGGGCCCTTGCCCTCAGAGGTAACATGACCTGAGATTTAGTTATCAACACCCCATATCTGTGGATTACCACAGTGCAGAAGACATTTTTACTTTCAAAACCAGTAGAGTTTTATCTTACCCATTGAATGTATATGTCAATCTTTCTGGCACTAGCAGCACCAGACAGCAGAAGGATGTACTGTGCACAGAACTGTGCTATGTAAATGCCTTGAAGGTGCACAGCCTAAATAGTTTTTCCCTTGGGAAGTTAGTGCTGAGCTTTGCTCTTCCAAGGCTGTTTCCCATCCATCCAGAAGCCCTGTGTTGGAGTGGCAGCCTTTGTGACACAGCCTGCTGGAGCTGCCTGAATTATGTTTTTAAATCATTCCTTTTGCCAGCCCTCCCTCCTTATAATATCTCCTGCTTTGTTGAACTGGAAAATGCTAGCATGCATTGACAACCAACATTTCTGCTGAGGGCAGATATAGGCAGCTACATAGAGAAGGCATTGGTAGGTTACGCTGTTCCCTATATCTGCTGTGAGAAGTCACCTCTGCCAAATTGCTCAGGCAGTATTGAAACAGAGATGTTTCCAGACACCTCAGTGGAAGGGAAGATGAAGAACGGTAGAAAGTGTTGAGAATATTGTAATGAAGACTAATGCTGTTCTCCTTTTACTGGAAACTCTGATTTTCCTTCCTTTTTAAAACAAAACAACAAACCAACCAAACAACCCAGACCCAAGGGTGGCTGAATGACTGCTGAAAAACTACCTCCTCCACTGTTGCATCATGAAGGGCCTCAGGCTGGTATCAGGGTTCTGCCATTCCATAGCTTTGCTAGCAAAGCATGCAAGCAATGGGGGTACCACAGGCAATGCTGAATTCTTAAGACAAGGAAAGGATAAAAGAGCAAATTCCATGTAGACAAAGTTTTAGAAGCATGCAGTGACCCTGGGAGAATGGATACCACTAACCTCCCAACAGTAATATACGAAGCTAATGCATTTTCCACCCACTACTGAAATGAATAATAAATGCTGCTAGACATACAGGCTAAGCTCACTGCTACAGCACCTCTCCAGGCAGCCGCTGCTCTACAAACAGCAAACCTCATCGAGTCAGGGTAAGCCAGTTATGGAAGCTTGCCAGAGCATAAAAAGAGTATGCTACTCTCTCTTTCTATCCAAACAGCCCTTCTGCTGAACACAATGTCTCTCATCATTCACACACAAATATATATTGCTGCTAATATAACATATCATTGAATTTCAGTACCCTAACAACCACAGCATCAGAAAAGCAGTTAAGCATAAACTAGTGTTTTGCATCAGCCACTCAGCATGCTGTGAAGACAGCGAGTGCCATGAGCTCAAGAAGAAAAACAAAGGCTAAGTCAGGAGATAAACTCAAGCTTTTAAAGTTCTTTCCTATTATTTTTCTACTCTTTTGACTCAGGCTATATGGAAATCACTTCTTTTCTAAGTGCTAAACCCTGCACTGGATCCTGCTGATGGATGACTAAAGAAATCTGTCTTCCTTCACTGTGCCTTTACCCACAGCTCTTGGATCTGGTCCCAGAACTAATTCTTATGTTGAAATGAAGTTCTTCACATTTCTCAGAATTGTTTTGGAGAGAAAGTAGCACTGAAAGGAGACAACACTGTCTGTAGGGGTGATTAGTCCCAATAGGTTCCTAAATTATAACTATGAAAAGAGTTTCCCATCAAATAATGCAAGGTGTAAGTATTCGAATAGAGGAAGGAATCAAGGTAGGAGACCAAATTCCCACAGATTCCAGAACAATAATTCATTCATTGCCAGGGATATGCAATGCTGAAGGGGCCCAGAGCTGTAACTTTTGACTAATGTTTCTAAAACCCTCCAGAAAAGATTTAGGCATCATCCTCATTTATTCGCATTGAAGAAACAGGGACCTGCAAGCTGCAGAGTTGTAAGGACTGAGCAGAATCTAAGCTATTACATACATAAAAGCCAAAAAAGGCTAATGAACTAGAGACTAACACAAACTCTGCCCTTTCCTCTGCTACCTCAACTCCTGAGCACTATAAATCAGCAGTTAATGGAATTGTTATTCAAGACTGCAACACCTGGAGAACATGCAGTGTGCCACTGGTCAGAATTTCACATGAAATTACGTACCTTGGCTTTATAACCAAAGAAATTTCACAGGCTTTCTTGCATTAGAGAAGAAAATCCCACTTATCAAATTCACTTGCAAACCACCCTGCTTCTGGAACTGGAATGTGATTTACCTGAAAAATTACAGAGCCATTTTAGTGTTCCCAAGACACAAATCAACTAGAATCAAATTCTTTGTTTCCTCTATTTTCCTCCTTCTCTAGGTTTTCTTTTTCCCTTCAATATTTAACAGCAGCAATTACTCTGGTATAAAGTTTTTATTCAACACTTAAGCCCCAGTGCTGCAATCTGAATAGGCAACGACCTCCAGCGAGAGAAACCCCACATGTGCAGAAAGACTTGGACCTGCCTAAGCCAACTGGAAAACTCCTGAGGCAAAAGAAAGGAGGAAACTAGGTGAAAAGACTGTCTGCAACAGTACATCCCATCGGGAATTTCATGTCTCACATCTGCCTTGCTTCTCTTCCGAGGTGCCTCTTTCAACCCAAACTGTTCAGATTCTACAATTCCATGAACAACAATTCAGCAGTTTGCCATCCTCACATCTTTTCTAGTCTCTTGTGTTAGAAATGTAGCAGCGTTAATGCAGAGTTTATTTGACTGCTGAAGAAAACAGCATTCCCAGGACCGAGGCTGGTGTACATTCAAATGAGAATGCTGAACACAGTCCATGTTTGAGGCAAAGAGAAAAATGTAAGTGCTTTAAATGAAAGCACAGAATGGCTGTGCTTTGGTTTCACACTCGCTTATAAATAGATTTGCAATCTGTGAAAGCCCTAGACAAGACGCAACATGACCCTCCGCAAAACTGTTCCTAGGCTTCAGTGGTGGAGCCCTGATTATGATGGCTCCCATGCTGCATCCCATTTCAGCACGATTTAGAGTGTGGTCTTCCAACAAAAATCAGCATCTCAGCATGGTATCCTGGAAATACAGCTGAGCAAATCACAGTCAGTACTGAGATTAAAGGGGAGGGAGGAGGGGGAAAGGGAAAACTTCTCACCAACTTGTACCCAGTAGTCTTTGAAAATGAAATACTCCTGCTAAAATCCCACCAGTTTTTCTTCTGTGAGCATATTATATTGAGTCTTGTAGATAACTAAAGCATTTTACAAGCAGGCCAAGTAGTTGCATCAAATTTTATGCAAGTTCTGAAGAGCTATAGAAAAAGGCTGCTTTTTTTGTTTAGCCATACAACAGAGCAGATTTCTCATCTGGAACAACTACCTTCCTCACTGAACAATAACAGTCCCAATATACCATTAAACCCACTGCTTAGATTTAATTTCAATAATCAATTTATTCATTAATTGGTTGCTAATCATACACATAATCTGTGTATGGAGAAATGCAACCATTCTGTGAAACAGTTTGGGCTTTCCCATAGCCTTGGATATGTGTACTTTTCCCCTCACAGCAAGAAGCAGGACAGCCCAAGTAATTTTGCTATCATTGTGTAAATGTAGTTGAATAAATGCACAAAGGTATAAAAATGTACTTTCCCCGCTATGTTTAAGTCAAAAAGAACACAGAGCATTCAGCATACTCTTTGCTGTCATTCAACCATTCCTCATTTCTGACCCTGTAGCCGCTTTCATAGGTGGCTACAACAAACAAGGATTGAGCATGGAACATATTAATCTTTATTAGGAATATTGGTTTTTAAACCATTGCCAAGAGCATCTGCAAAATCCCCTTCAAAGCCCAAAGTGCTCTTTCCTTTAGTTATGCCATGCTGGAAGGAGGTTGGCTCTATAGCCTTCAATGGTGGGAGGCTTTGTGTGTCTCACCAAAACCAGTGAAGTATGGCAAATGGTCTAGCTGAGGGAGAAAAAACAAAAAACATCCAAGTAGAGGGCAGATAAACAGCTAGCACTCACCACAGGAGAAAAAGGAACATAGGGGCAGGAAAGGAAGACATAAGCATAGAGGAAAAATCAGCCCTTATGATTAGCTGCTGAAGACAGAAAAGGATCCAAGCATTCACAACCCACACAAAGTGAGGCCAGATAAAGCTGATGATACTGCAGAACCTGAACATGTAGCAACCAATAAGGCTTTCACTCTGCCAGCTTCTAAGCTATCCAACATCTTGCTAAACTCCTAGAAGATGCAGAAAGCTGAGATCTTTTCAGTTTTCCTTAACTATTTTATATTGTCAAGAAGTAACCCACATAGAAATAATTGCCCATCATCTTCTACCCCAGCTGAGGACATGTTCAAGGCTCCCATCAGGTTCAGAAAAGCAGTTTGCTTTGTGGTCCCTGTAACCTCTTGCCCACAAGATGCTTGTTATAATACAAGTCTATTAGCTTTTCTAATTAACAGTCTTTGTTGTAAGAGTTATTCCTGTTGTGGCAATGGCCTCACTACAACAAGCCCTAGGACACCATCCTTCTTGTCTGTTGTTCCTCTGTACCTGGCAACACTCATGGACTTCTGGCTCTGCAACACCCCCATTGCTCTTGGTGCTCCCTAGATGTGGTGCCCAGGAGTATAAGTCATCATCAGGGTGTATCCCAAAGCCTAGGTCTTGCCGTGACTCTCAAGGCCACTCTTGACAGCATGCTCCCTCTTCTTTAGAGCATTAAGAGAGGGATAAGAAAACAAAGTAGAGCAAAGATGGACTTCTGTGGTGGCCTCAGTGGTAGTTGTAAGGACAGAAGGCAAACAGAGCTTGCCTCACAAACCAATCTTTCTGCATGATGTATGCTTTGAAATAATAGTTTCCCATTCTAGGGCTCCATCTGATGGCTCTTCTGGTTCACAGGCTCATTTTTCTTGAAACCTTCTAGAACAAGACAGAGTAGCAAGCGACCTACCTCTTCAAAGCAGGTTTGAGAGTAACTCAAGACCATAGGGCCAGTGTTAGCATTAGAGAGACATCCATCTTCAGTACAGCTTCTACAAGGACTTCTTTCCCAAGCATGAGATTAAATTCTTCCCCAGACCAATGAAGAGAAGGTGTGTAGGTAGGAGCTCTCATGTGTGGCTGGTGGCCCCAGGTGGGGTTGAGTCAGGGCAATCAAGACCTATTAATGCACTCAGGGCCCTGACAAGTTGTCCCTATTTCTACAAATCCCTTTGGGGAGGAGGGTGTGTTTGTTGTTTATGGGGTTAAGCCTTCAGTTTGCCTTTCTTAGCAGCTGGTCTGTAGTCTTCCATAAGCACAGTTTGGGATTGGGATCAGGAAACTAATGTTTAAGTAAATAGGAGTTTGCTTCATATCTGACTGGCAATACATTACACTGCATACACCAGTGGATGGAAAGGACTATACAGAACATGTTCTTAGAAGAAGCCAAAGCCTGCATTCACAGGAAGGTGAAAGTAACACCTCCTTCTCTCTCCTGCTTTTCTTCACTGTATAACTTGCTCTAGATTTATATATGTAAGTGCATAAGATATATATCCCTTTATGTTGCTAAAATCTGTAAAAAAAAGGTCCATTGTGTGAGTAAATATAGTTAAGATTTTCCATTCACAATTTCCAGGAGGTAATAAATTAGGAAAAGACTGGAGACACAAAATTAATTGCCAATGCTAAGTAGAGGGATGACTCCATGTAACTCTGATGTCAGAAGGTCCAACATTAGAAGTAGGTCTCAATCCTTATGTTACAGGGTTAAAAAGCTGAATTGATAAACAACTCGAAATATATGTAGTTAGAATGTAAACGCCAAATGAAATCCCTGGAAGTTCTAGCCCCTGAACCAGTACTGAGTCCAGGCTGTCAAAACGATTCACAATGCATCCCAGATTGCATATAGCAAGCACAAACTGGGTCTAGTAACGTGGATCCAGAGCCAGTGATAGAGATCAGAATAGGTAGGTGGCCTGTTTTGAGGGAAACATTTTCCCCATTGCTTCCACATTAACAAATCTGCTCTTGAGTCAGACAGAAACCTCCCTCCTTCCCTGCCCCATCCAGTCTCTGGGGCTGAGCTGTCCTTGCGGGCATGGTCCTTGCTGCCCCCCTGCCCTGACTTTGGGATGACCACTTGCTCCAGGCTATAGTTCTGAATTCTCAAGAACCATTTGCAATCAAGGTAAATTCAATAGGAGACAACTTTGCTGACTATAGGGAGCTTTTATAACACCAGGGACAACTCAGGTTAATGATTTTTTCTTTCTCCTTCCCTGAACACAAGCTATCCCAGAGCCTGTATCTGAATATTTAGTTCTCATGTATATTTATTTAGTTAGCAGTGGCATTCCTATTTTTATAGCTTAGAGTTTTTAACTTTCTTGTTAGCAGCATTAACAAGGTTTACAGCATATAAAGCGAGCTGTGGCATTTAAAAAATGTTGGCCTAATGTAACACCAGCAGTTTTTTATACACACGTTCAATGGCAATCTCCTACTGACAGGCAGAATGCATTTCTATGTCTGGGCAAGTTTATAGATGGTGTTCCCACCTCCGGGCCACAAGGTCACAAATTTGTTTCTGATTCTATTAACGAAACACTCAACAATAGTAAGTTTGTGTGGTTTTTTTTTTTTTCTTCTTTTATGAGAGAGGACTGTTTTATGTGATCCAAGATCTTAAAGATACTCCAAGGAATCTCTGTCGAATGCTGGGCTTTTCACCCCCGTGCCCTGACCAAAGAACGCTGGCTGGAGACTTGAGAAGCTTTGCCTGGCAGTCAGACAAAACACATTTCAGGGAAAGCTGACATGACTGAAGACAAGACCAGGCAATGTCTCTGTCATCTGCCCATGTGCAGTTACACTGCCTTCAGTGGGGTTTCAGAGGGTAGGATTTGACTCTGCATCAAAAGGATGTACAGGAGTTAAAGATTCATGATACCTGTTCTCAGTTCGTATTTCTTCAGCAGATGCTTTGTGCAACCCTAAGGACCTCAGCCAAAAGCACTGCTACCCGGCCCTCCATGCCTGTGGGATGGAAGCAACAGTATTCTTCCTTTGCCTATCTTCATCTGTTTTGCAAGATTTTAGAGGCAAAGCACTAGTAAATGAAGGCACCTACCTCAGTGAGGGCCTTTGCGCTCCATACGTTAACAAGAATACTTACTGAACTCATGGCAAGAACAAATAAAAAGAGGAATACATAAGAGATGGCTCCTATTGCCCTATGAAACACCAATCTTATTCCCTCTTGGAATTAATTTAACTAGGTATTTTCTCCTTTATGCCGTGTGAAGGCTCCAGCTGCACCTTCCTTACCATAACTGTTCAGTGTGTGATGCCGAGCCTCATTTAACAAGAGGGGGAAGCAGCATCCAGGCTGACCTCAGCCACTGCTGACCTGAAATCACTTCATGCTGGAACACCTTGCGCTCTGGGACTTTGTGGCTATGAACACACGGACTTTTGGCTTGAGAAAGGAATGAGGGCCAGCAGAAAGACTGGGCTGATGGGGTAAAATTAAGAACACAGAAGAGAGAGAACCAGCATTTGAAGGAGGGAGGATAAGCTTTTGTGTCTGTTGAAGGAATTTCAGCATCATTTCTTACTGTCAGAAGGCAATCATGAAAATGCAGAAATGCAGCCCTTTATGTGGGATTCTTTGGGTTACTGTGGTTAGGAGGATCAAGGCTAGGTATCACATGCCTTTACTGAAGGGAGATTGTCTGGAATAAAGCAAGGAGCCAGAATTTCTAGGCTAGGAAAAAGGCTGATCATGTTGCAACAGAGCACAGGAAAGAGAATTTGGCTGCAGTGTCTGACTGGAGGCCTTTTAGCTACATGAGAGGACTCCAGGTCTATTCTTTCTCCAATTTCCTTATGCCCCCAAGGAAGCTTTTGGTGGAAATTTGCTTTCATTTATGGGAGGACTGGAAGAATAAGGGCCAGACTGTGATGAGCATTTGATAACAAGAAAGAGGGTTCAAAGGAGAGGAAATGGCCCAAGCAGGATTCGAGGTGTTATTCTGCACCAAAAATTGACCTGTGCAAGTGACAGTCTCCCACAGCTGGTCATTACAAGTGGATGTTTTTGAAATGTGCTTGTTCTAAAACCCTCTGAGGCTTGGATCCAGTAAGATCTCAATGTCCTTTCCAACCCTAACTGTTCTATGATGCTATGATTCGATAAGATGACTGTGCTCTTTGAAAATCATCATCATGACACAGATTCTTGTGGCTCACTGAAGTACCAAGTGATCTTCTGTGCAGTATCACCTGCTTCAGGTTCTTTTCTCCATGATAACTATGGGCTTGGTTATTTAAAGGCAGTATGACAATAACACACAAAACTATTACTAAACATCTTTGCTCAGAGAAGACATACCTTCCTAACAAGTATTCTTGTGTTTCTATGCTCTATTTGGTTACCTCATAGATAATGATTTACGATCACCATGCAATACCTTTTTTAAAACAGATTGCAACTTGTCTTGCTACTCCTAAGAATGGCAACTTTTCTTCTGGGGCTTTGGAGAAGTTTGTAATTTTCTCAGGTTTTTTAAAAAAAACCTATAGAAATTCCCTTAAAATTCCTTTAAAATAAAAATCTATAGGTAAGCATCAGGTGTGTATCTCCCTACAATGCACAGGCAGTTCTCCACTAAAGCAAACAACCTCCTACTGGTGTCCCTATTCATTTGGTCATTGTTACAAACCACTTGGGCAGCTTGTAGCATCGATACTGTGGGAAAAGAATGGTTTTGATAGACTCAGAAAAGAATCCAAAGCAGCTGGGGTGCCCTGTCCATGAGAGACATGATTAATAAATAAGCAATGATCAATTGCTTTGCACTGTGGATATTTTGATAGTTCCAGGAATGTTAGTGAAATGTATTCAAGCGATGGGGAGACTTTGATTTTTTTTGCTACTTGGTGGCATCAAGATGCAAAGAAAGAGGTTGATCACAATTTTCTATATCAATATTATGAAAAAAACAGATATTTACCTTTCATGTTTATCTCCACCTAAAAAACCTTCTTGTGAGGCAGTTTTCCATAGCTCTTCTGTCCCGTTAGGCATGTAGAACAATATACTTCAAAGCACTTCAACTTTCATGTTTCTGCTGAGAAGTTTCCCCTCCTGCAACGTTACACATATATGAAATCAGTGGTAAAACAACAAAGAATGGTGACAAATACTGAAACTCATTTTGCTCAGCAGCATTCCCTATAAAGCATCATTTATGTGACAGTGCTAGGAGACTAAGAGCTTGCTCCTGAGAGAGAACGACAAATACGCGGGGCTGCTGTGCACATCTGGTTTGGTTTGGATCCATCAGCCTCTGCAACACACTGTGAAAACACCACAGAAGTGGCTGTTCTTCTGAAGTGCAGTAGCAGATCTTGAGTGTGTATTGAGCTAGATCCTCAATGGGTATAAATCAAAGTAACTACACCGAAATCAATCCAGCTGCTGCTCTTTGCACACATAATACATCTTATGTGAGACTCCCAAGTACCACAATCACCACTCCAATATCTTTCTTATAACCTGCTGCTATCATGCCACAAGATATCCATCTCTTCCAGTAGCTACCCCCTGCCCTGTGCTTTCAGGGATTCTCTCCCTTCCCTCTGCTCTCCCTTCCCTCCCTTCTTCCCCCAGGACTGGCATTGCTCAGCATTTTGGCTAGGAGACCAATTCTGCAAACTGAAAACATCAAAGCATATCTCTGGTTAGATCTCATCCCAACCTTCCAAGTTTGTTGACTTGGAAAGTGAATAACTAATAAGGCAGCATGCCATTGTTTTCTGTTTATTATAATGGAAATAAATTGCTGGCTTTAAATCAGGCACTGATTGTTCCTTTGATATCACTGCCAGGAAGCAAAATAAAATGGCTTTTTAGAAATCACCTTTCACAGGGAGTGCCACAGGCATTTGAAAGATGAGCCTTTTTCCATGTCAAAGGCTCGACCAGAAGTGCCAAATACACCAGAAGAAAAATTCAAATCCTTCCCTATTAAAACAAACAACAGAAAGAAGAGTGCAAGTGCAAGAGAAGGATTGCCTGGCTGAGCTGGCACACCACACATCTCCTGCAAGTGCTCATGAGGCTGCAGCAGGGCTGGCTCCGTGGTGAGGAGCACTTCCTGAAGAATATGGAACACATCCTTTGCAATCCTTTTTCCCCTCAAAAAGCAGGTGGGATGAATGAATGACTCTGCCTGGCAGCTCTTAAACTAATAATAAGAGACTTTAGGAGCCAAAAAGGCAGAGGGGGTGCTTTGCCTCAGAACTTGAGCCACCCATAAATCTTGCTTGTGTGTTTCTTTTGTGTTTGCTTCATGTCAAGCTACATGGAGCAGCAATTTCCATTGCCCTTCCAATGCCTTGGAAGGAGGGGTGTGAGTGAACAGCTGCTTGGTACTGTGTTACTGGCTGGGTAAAACCATGACACCTTCTCAGCATTTTAGCTTCTTCCCTATAGAATTTTAGGTGCAGACTTTCAGGTGTTTGAATTTTTCTAAGTGCTACCAACCTTAGCTAATGTGGGAATATGTTGGGCATTGGCACCACTGCATCATGCACAGAGAGAAGCTTCCTTATTGGAGTTCATAGCTGGATCCAGATCTTAAGTGATGCAGAGCACAGCGGTGTTTGGTTTTCATGACGTGCTGCAGTTTGATTTGGCTTGGAGCAGAGGATAAAGTGGAGTGCCAGATTCAGATCTCGGGCCAAGCTTGGGTTCTGTATTTCAGCTACCAAACTTCATCACGGTTTGGCAAAGTCATGCCCTCACCTGCTCACGCCATGTGGAGAACACCTGTGATTTGCTGGGAAGGTGGTTGATCATGCTGTGAGAAACTCCCAACCTATGAGAGCCTGTTTTGGCTGATTCTGGTTGCTGCAGATGATGTGCACTGGGAGAGCAGAACCACTGGAACATGCTCAGACTTTTCAGCTGCAAAGAAAACAGAAATGGTGTAAAGCAAAGCTGTCAGGAGCAGACTGCAGATTTATGCCTTCCCTTGTTGTCGTGACTCTTGGAACCAGTGCAACCTGTTCATTTGTAAGACTGGGGCTCAAATGCACAGCAGCAGCATGACCTGAGAGTAAACTGGGAGTAAAATGTATCATTTTCTACGAAGCCTGCTTTTGAAACACTCCTTCATGCTATCTCTAGCTGCTGTTCTGACACATCACTTGCTGGAAGACCCTTTTTCCAAACATCAAACCAATGCCCATAGCTTAAATGGCAAAAGATCTGTGCACAGCAAACGATGCGGTCTGCTAAATATTAAGGCCCTGTTTGACAGGGATATTATGCCTACACTTGGCTCTAAATGTATCCCTACTCTGCAAAGTATTTAAGCATATTATTAACTTCAAGGCTTTAGGTATGTCCCACAAAATGGGGTAATATAACTGGGACCTTATAAAGCGCCTATGACATAGGTGCTTTTCTGAATTGGAAGATTTGAAGGGCTCCCACCAAAGTGCCCTGGGATTAAGTAAAGATTTTCCATTGGCTTCAGTGAACATTCAGCTAGGTCCTGATTTTTATAGTTATTACTTGCTTATAACAGGATATTCAGAAAGGAAAAGGAAGGATCTTTTTTTTTCCAGACACTCGTGGCAGTCCAGTGAAGTTCTCACTGATTGTAAAAGGGGAAACATAATCCCCATTTTTAAGAAGGAAAAGAAAGGAAGACCCAGGAAACTCCAGGACAGTCTCACCCCTGTGCCCTGTAAGATCATGAAGCAGATCCTCCTGAACACTATGCTAAAGCACATGTAAAACAAGGAGGTGGTTGGTGACAGCCAGCATGAGTCTTCACATAGGGCAAATTATGCCTGACAAATCTGGTGGCTTTCTATGGTGGGGTTTCAGCACTGATGGGTAAAGAAAGAGCAATTGATATGTGCTTGCTTGTGCAAAGCATATGACACTGTCCTCAATGACATCTTTGCCTCTAAGCTGGAGAGATATGGATCTGACGGATGGACCAGGGGGATGGCTTTAAACTGACAGAAGGGAGATTTAGATTTGATATAAGGAAGATGTTCTTTACTGGGAGGGTACAGTGGAGAGATACTGGCACAGGTTCTCCAGAGAAGCTGTGGCTTCCATGTCCCAGGCAGTGTTCAAGACCAGGTTGGAAGGGGCTTGGTGCAACCTGGTCTAGTGGAAGGTGTCACTTCCCATGGCAGGGGGTTGGAATTGGGAGAGTTTTAAGGTCCCTTCCAACTCTACCATTCTATGATTCTGTATTTCTATGGTAATACCATCTCTTCTAAATTACTTCTGAAAATTAAGGTTGTGACTGTGACCTGTACTTGATGATCACACTTTGGTTTGAACTTTTTTGAGTATATATAGGTTTGCTAACTCTAGAAGTGCCCTGTAATTTATTTCCCAGGTGGGCTACAAAAGTCATCTGGAAGAAGGAAAACAGTGTCCAAGTGCTTGCTGTGCAAATGGATGATTGTGCATCCGTAAATTGCTTGATGTATGTTGATCTGTCATATCTGAAGAGACAAAAGCAAATGTCAGACCTGAAAATCCAGTCAGCATTAATATTCTGACACATGAACTGTTACATGATATTTACAGTTCCTCCTTGGAGACCATAGAAACATTATACTGTGTCATGCAAAACCAATATAGAGCAACATTTCTGCTTCTCTACTCATTTCACCCAGCAAGTTACTGGGAATACTTCAATGCAAAGAAAGGTCTTTGCTAAGAGAACTTCTATTCTTTTTTACAAACTCTCTTTGCCAATATCTATGACAGTATAGGAAACTGTTTCCCAAGGAACTACGTCCTGGACACAGCACAGCTTGGGCTAGTGCAACACTCATGCTAAAGCTATCTTGGTTTAACTTTAAAGCAGCACCTCCCTGAGGACCTCTCAATTCTGGAACGAGTGACACGTTTCTGTGTTCTGTGAGAGCCTGGATTATTTTTAACCTTCTGGACATGTTGCAAAGGTCAATTTATAGTCTCACAGAGACAGAAAACACAGGGGTTTGGGGCAGGCAAAAGGGGGAATTGGCTGTTGTTGATTACTGAATATTATTAGTGCTGAAAAGAAGCAGCATTTCAGGGCAACTTCTACTTTCTTGCACTGCTTGCAAGGAAATGTAGTGTGAACTGGCACAGATGCATGGACTGCAGCGCACCCATGTTCCTGCAGGCCAGCAGAGATTTTTGATCCATATACTACAAGCTCTGTACAGGTGCTGTGTACTAAAAGATACAGCAGATGGTAAGAAGAAAGCTTTCTTTTCCTCTCTCCATCACAGTTTTATATATAAAATCATGGAATCACAGCTTGTTTGGCTTGGTAAGATCACCTAGTTCCAACCCACTGCCATGGGCAGGGACACCTCACACTAGATGATGTCACCCAAGGTTCTGTCCAACCGGGCCTTGGCCACTGTTAGGGATGGAGCATCCACAACTTCCCTGGGCAACCCATTCCAGTGCCTCACCACCCCCAAAGTAAAGAACTTCTTCCTTATATATAACCTGAACTTCTCCTGTTTAAGCTTGAACCCATCACCCCTTGTCCTATCACTACGGTCCTCTACAGCATCCCTGTAGGCCCCTTTCAGACACTGGAAGCAGCTATGAGGTCTTCACACAGCCTTCTATTCCCCAGGCTGAACAGCCCCAACTTTCTCAACCTGTCTTCATACAGGAGGTGCTCCAGTTCCCTGATCATCCTCGTGGCCTCCTCTGGGCTGGAATCTTACCAATGACTTTGTTCCCAAATTACCTTAAACTAGAACAGCGTCTTGCCTGTAATTTGCAATGACAGAATTCTTTAGCACTTCCAATATTGTGCAAGGCTTCCAGTGAAAAGAGCAGGAGGGTAAGAGCCTGAGCAAACCTATGGTATGTGCTTCCCATAATATTCAGCAATATATGTTTTAAAATCTTCTATTCATTCAGGTTGCAGACCCATCAGTTCAAATATTTATCAGAAGCCCCCCCAAGACTATAACAGAGACAATGCACACTGAATCTGTAGACATTTCAATAGTCATGAAAACCAGTGAGTAGCATTTTTTCCAGTTCTACCTAAATCCTACTTGAGCCTCACTCAGTAAAGTGCAATTCTTAACACTTACAAGGGAACCCATTACAATTATGTCCTCAATTTGGGCTGATGAAAAGTAAGAACCACAGAGTTTTGTATTACTTCCAACCAAAAGAGTCAAATGGCCTAAGTTTACCCAAAGTTTCACAAACGTTTCTGCAAGGAAACACATCAGGGCATTTTTACAAAACACTGGAAATGCCCAGAATTCCATACTCCTGAGTTTAAAGCTTTTCCAAGTTTTTTGTTTGTTTTACACAACCTCCACCATGATTGTTTTCTTACCCCTGTGAGCACCATCAGGATTTTAAAATTGGATCACTTTCCAGGAATTACAACGAAGCATTTTAACTCTTGGAGCAGAGAAAGGGCAATTTTATTGGAAAATGTCATTCCTGGAATGTGCTCCTTTCTGGTGAGTCCCAAAGGACCAGTCACAGGAAGGACTGAGATGAGGTGATGCTCTGCAGGTGGCTCCTGGCTGTCATTTCAGACCACATAGAATCATAGAATCACAGAATGGTTTGGGTTGGAAAGCACCTTAAGTTCCAACTCCACCACCATGGGCAGGGACACCTCACACTAGACCATGTTGCCCAAGGCTCTGTCCAACCCAGCCTTGAACACTGCCAGGGATGGAGCATTCACAACCTCTTTGGGCAGCCTGTTCCAGTGCCTCACCACTCTCACAGTAAAGAATATGAGTCTCTTTCAGCTCTTGAAAAGCCTTCAGTGACACAAAAGACATTTAGAAGCGTGGCATGTCTCCAGGCTGCACTTTACTTTCTGTGGGCATTTACTCAAGTTCTCCAGCTCTACTTTGGCCTGTCCCTGTCCACACAGAGGTGCCCAATGCCTGGGGTGATGGGACACAGCTCTGCCCTGCTCTGCCTGTGAACTCAGGCACTGTAAGCAGGGGTGATGAGAGGTTCAGTTCCAAAGCATGCTCCTGATCTGAACTAACCTCTTCTGTGAGCCTATGAAAATGCTCATGGAGATGCACCTTTAGTGGGAGGATCAGCTACAAATGCAAAACAGATGCTAAAGGCTTGAGAAACACATACACAAAGAAGAAAATTGACATTTTCAAAACCATGGTCAGAAGCAGGAGCCAAACCAGGATTTGCTAACTTCCTCTCCATTGTTTCATCTATACTGCTGCTTCTCGAATTTAATCTTAAATCTTGACAATTCATCGTCTTTCCTGGACATCTTTTATCCCACACAATGTTAAAATAAACATCCCAGTTACAGTTATCTGACATCAGTGAAATGGTGAAGTTCCTATTCCCTAAACACCTGTAAAGCTTTTATTTTCCCTCTCCAAAAAAAAACAAGATGACCTTCTCCTCCCCTTCCCCTGGCACTTCTCTTGCTACAGCCCATGTGGCTTTCTTGGACTCTCTTAGCCTCAAATGGATTTTCAATATGAACTTTATGGTTAGTAGTACCCCCTTCCCACTAAGATACTGCAGATTTCTGTGGTAATTCTACTTCCAGAGTTGTCAGAAGGATGCAAAAGCCAGGCTTGTTACATGTGGACACAATTTAGATGGGTAACAATTCATTAGGGAGCTGTATTTTATCAAGGCAGAGTTTTACTGAGATATGGTATGGTCCAGAATCAGAACCTCCTACAAAAGCGTGGGTTTTCTCTTGTGGAGGAACCTAGGTTCTTAGGACACTGAAAGCAATAGCCCTTAATGTCTCACACCATCTCCAATACTTCAACCATTATTATTGCGAGTCACATTTTAATTGCTCATTGATAGCTCTGACAAGAGCACTCAGTGGCTTTGACTTCAGCCTGGTGCAGAAAACTTTGAGTTATCTGTAACACCTTTCA